TCTCCCGTGTGGAGTTGTGTGCAACTCCTTGATCTTGCTGGAAATCCCGTGCCTCTACCAAGTTCTACCGACCTCTACCAGCTTCAAACCTGGTAGAGCCGGTAGAGAAAGGTAGAATCTACTTTTTTTAGTAGAAAAAAAGGAACGCATCTGCCGAATGAAGTAGTTTCTAGTAACTTTCTACCCAAACCTGAACTGAGATCAAAAACGAACGTCCCCTAAGTTCCAATATACCCCAGGTTTATACACTATTGGCTTGCCCAAATTGCAGCAGATGAACTTGCACACGCGTTGTGTGGTCTTGCAGCTGGACTTGCACCCCCAGCCTTTTGCCAGGCCTGTGATGGGCTGACTGAGGTTGCGAGATGTAACTGTTAATTGGAGCGCCACACCATGACTACCTTACCGGTAGGTCATTGCATGGTCGTTGACCGCCCATTACTAGGCGAGGTGGGTACTAGTTCCACACACGGTTATACACCACTACTCGAAAACGGTCTCTTGGCTACAAATTCTTCCAAAAATAATAAAATCCACATTTTCGGGCCAGGCCAATCGTCAGGAATGGCCTGAAATTTTGGATTTTATTATTTTTGGAAGAATTTGTAGCCAACAGACCGTTTTTGAGTAGTGGTGTATAACTGTGTGAAACATGAAGTAGCTATAGTGGAGTCTGCACACCCTTAGGGAGGTGTGTCGTTGACAGTAGAATTTGTGGCCATAAAAAAAGAGTAAATTTTCGTGTCCGTTCCCGAAGGGAACTCACGACGACCGCTAACACCCGGTAAACCCTAGCGGCAGATGCAGTGCCTAACGGCCATAGCAACAGGCTTCATTCAAAACAGTGCGGTACGTGAAGGACTATGATCGTATACTACTTGCAGGAGTCACAGGTACATGATAATTGTGTATGAAGCTTTGTCCGGGGAGAAAACGAGAGCGGCCAAGAACTGTCTTGTACCATATTGTCCACCCTGTGAGTCATGTCCATAAATGGGTGGATAGCCTGGCAAACTGACGACAAATCCCCTTTTCTCTAGTTCCTCGGCACTCTGGTACGCTCCTCCAGTGTGTGTATTTGTCTGCAATTCGGTAGATAGCTTTGACAACAGTGCCCATATGAACTTCCCGCTCACTGCATCATGTGTTTTTTGGGTTGCATCCGTCCCCTGGGGTTGTGTGTGAGCACCGGGATCGCTCATTGGACAGAGCCTGGTGCGGAGCTTGGGTGATATCCCAGTTGGTTCACATGGGCCTGTTGCCATCTTTCTTAGCTTTGGGTCGTGTGCAATTTGAGTGTGTACTCCTAGTCCCTCCTATATCGGGGACCCTAAATTTGCTGGTATTCGTATCGGGAATGTCATGCGTCTGGCATCTGTTAATGTAAGAATAATTTATGGAAAAGAAAAAGGACCAAGGAACTACAAGTTACGCTATAATGTCCACTAACACCACCAGTTACTAAACAATCAGCGTAACTTGTAGTTCCTTGGTCCTTTTTCTTTTCTATAAATTAATCCTCGGCTCTCCCTCCGAGTCCATTATTGTAGGAATAATTCATACCATTTAGCATTTTTAATTATTAATAATGTAGCCCCATTGTGAAGCAGTTTGTCTGCTTCTCTGGCAAGCTTTTCATTATGGGTGAAAGGGGTGGTCCGGGTACCCGTCTGTTTAGCTGCTGATCCGTTAACAAACGAGTACCCGTTAGTCGTGTACGACGGTATCTTACGGTATTAATAGCTGGCTTGGACAGTCGTACAGTTCGATGTACAGTTTGTTGTTGGTTGTTCGATCCTGGTACATATGATAATTTTGACTGTTTTGCATGTAGCGCAGTAAGTGCGCATGCTGCGCTTGTCGCGATGTAGTGCACTTGCTATGAACTGCATGACATTGCATGTCCTCCTGGCACGAAATGCGGAAGGCTATTACAGTAAGTGTTAATGTTCTTTTTTTGTTTTTTTTGCTTTCAGGTGCTGCACCGGGGACAATAATGTGACAATATTACAATGTAGAGAAATAGATCTCCGTTCACACTTCCTTCCGTCTGTTCAGGTTTTGCTTTGTTTTGCTGATGCTGGTGATTTACACATGCATGTTGTTGTCTGGTGAAATTGTCCCCCGCTGTATAGTATACGTTTAGTAGAATCACCTTTTTGTTTCGCTCTTTTTCCCCTTCTTTCATTTTTATTTGTCTTTATAAGTGTTAGGTACCTCCTCCCGTACCTTTTCTGGCTGGCCTGCATATGTATGTAGTTGTAATTGTACACATCGTATTCGTAGTATTCGTACTCACCTTTCGTTCCGTTGGCCTGGGTAGCTACTTGCGCGCCCATCTTTGCCATAGCTACCCAGGCCCTTTATCTTGCATGCTCTCCTATTCGACTCCCTCTCTCTCCCTTATTGTTGTCGAAGTAGTTCGTCTTTGTCTCCGTCTCTTCGTCTACCCCACTAAATGTCGTTCTACCTTCCTGTCCCGTTATCCGTTGTGTCTGGAGAATTGAGTGAAAGCTACACTTAACATAAGACTAGTTTCAAGTAGTCCCCATTCCATTTTTACGTAGATTCACTGATGAATATTCGAATGTAACACGAAAACAGTTCTGAATAAATCCTCTCTTTCCCTTTCGTTGTGTGCCTAGCGCCTTGCGATCATCGTATAACTTTTTACACATACATGTCGACATAATATAGGAAATGCTTACAGTGCAATTAGTCGTCCTTGTAGCAATGGAGATGATGCGAAAACAATAAACACACGTTCAATGCTGGACAATCATGAAAATTCATTACTTCTCTCTGCTTCTATCCCATTGTTGACTCTGAGGAAAAAGGTATACCAAATATTTGCAAGTAGCTCCTGCTGTTCCTGTTTGTATTATTTTTATTTTTTCACTTTGTCATGTCCCTTCCTCTCTCATAACAGCCACCTTCACTTCCTTTGCCCAGGAGACTCCCTTTGATAGGCGCCTACATTGTAGGCCTCTGGAGAATCCTTGAAAATATTAATATCAAAAATGTTCGACAACACTATAACTACTTGGATACTAGGCTTCCTATTTACCTTAGTAGTCCATCGGCCAAATCTCAGAAAAGACCTCTTTCGGTAGGCTTTCCTCAAAATAATGATTAATCGGCCGGCCGAAAAATTCGCCGAAAACGAGACTTATCAAAAATCGCTAAGTCTTTCGCCGATTTTGGAGGATTCCTTTGACAATCGCCGAAAATCTACCAAATGTTCTTGCAAAGTGCGATTACGAACGAATGATGTAATTGTTTCTGCAAGCAAGACCGCTCGAGCTCTCTACTTCAGTACCTGTAGTACTATTGTGTTGAGGTCGTGTGACTCGTGTCCTTTGACCTCCTCTCAAACAAACATTAGAGAGGTTGCGCACAACGAAAATTCGTAGCGCCGTAACGAATATTTTTAACGAAAAAAGCTAACGAATATTCGTCAACCGTGAGGTTGCGCACAACGCGTGAACGTTTTCGTAGTGGGTCGACGCGGCGGCCGCGCGGGTACGAAGAGTCAAGACAAGGAGTTGTAAAATATCAATATTTTAGTACTCCAGGTGACGAAAAATATTTTCGTAGATCTGCTCTGTTTCGGTCACGTTTGGACGGATCTTCGGAGCAACTTTCGTTACTCGAACCCGGACGGTCGAAATCTAACGAATTTTCGTTGTGCGCAACCTCTCTATTAGCCATTGATGATCGTTACCAGTAAATCCCCAAATCGCCCGGCGGAAAAATTCCCCGAAAACGAGACTTATCGAAAAATTGCTAAGCATTTCGCCGATTTTGGAGGGTTTCTTTGAGAATCGCAGAAAATCTACCAAATCTTCCAATCTCTCACCAATTTTGAAGCCACAATACTTTTAGCCGATTTTCCAATAACTATAGTCCAATTTTGATGCCGATTTTCGAACAATCAGCTGATTTTGCAGCCGAATCTGATGTGTTTTTGAGCTTAGCTCAAAGCCGAACAGGCGAAAAAACGGGCCGATTTGGGGAAAGCCTAGTCGTCTCAGCCGCTTCCGAGTCCTGACTAGCCCTTTCCCAAAGATGCTCTCCACTTTTGTCGCAATTTTTCGTTGTTCAGGAAGAAATCGCAACTTCCGCAACTTTCTTCATGTTCGCGAACTATTTCGCCACTTTTCCGCAACCTTGGCCCCATGGGCCATGGCATGGGGTCAAAGGTCAAGTCTCCGACTACATATCGGATAAAATGCATACTCGCTCATTTCTCGCCTGCCTCCAGACTCATTTCAGAGAAACAGTAGATCAACAGTAGTTACGATAATGTACATTCCCTTTTCTGTGCACTGGAATGATGTAGGATACGTGCTACAGGCTACTGGCACTGTGTAAAGTTGTGATTTGTTGTTATTGTTGTTTATTTTACTTCACCAAATCAACAGGCAGAGATGCCTTCTCACCTGCCCATAGGACAGGTTCTTACAGAATGATGAAGGGATGATATGCAAGGGAAAACAAGAAATTTGATAATACAGAAAGGACCAAAAGAAGAAAAGGAAACAATTATATGAAAACAATTTCATGGAGTCAGCAATAGAAAGACAATAATTTCATGGAGTCAAAGAATAGAAAGACAATTTCATGGAGTCAGGAACACGTGGGTGATTTTATAGACATGCATGCACAAATGATTGATAGATGAATGATAAGGTTGGAATTTATGGCAGATAATAATAGGATATTCACAAAGTAAGTATATCAATGGCAGAAAGAGCTTTTCGGAAGGGACCAGGGACACCTATCACTCTAAAATCAGAGGGGAGAGCGTTCCAGAGAATGCTTCCCCGAAACATCATGGTCGTTTTTGTTTGTTGTTGTTTGTTTATTAATTTTTATTTTACTTCACCAAGTGAACCGGCATTTCTGCCTTCTCACCAGGTCCGGAGACCTATACTAGTTCCGACAAGAAGATGAAGAGTAAATGAAAATTTTAATGTACATTGCACATGTATTTTATGTGTAAAAAAATGATTAAAATCATGCAGAAGGTTATACTTATGAAAGCGGATAAAAATGATTGAATAAAAAGAGGTGGTTGACAGGATCTCACAGACCCGTATTTGCTGCTGCTAAGTTGTGGAATCGTTTGCCTCCCCCCCCCCCTCTTTAAAGTCCTGCCCTACCACATGCCAATTCAAGCGGCTATTGAAAGTTTACTTTCATGGCTAATGCGAGGATGTTCCCTATACGGAGAATTCTCTAGAGTCACTGTTTTCTTTACTGCACCTATCCAGGTTATAAAATGGCAATAATAATAATAAAAAGGGTTTGCTCCCCACACCGGAGCTCGCGCTATTCCGCCGACTTTACTTGACACTTGACTGACCACTACTTAATAATAATAATAACAATAATCAGAACTTAGAAGTTGCGACTTCGGCGGTAATAGTCATGAAGTTGATTGTTCCAACTAGGAACACACGCTTCTTGCCGAACTTGACACTTGACTGACTCACGACTGCCATCCGGAGCACACGAGGAGCACGTCGCACCTTCCACTCGGCAAACCTGCAAGAAAGCACCACTCCCTGCTCAATACACGGTGTTTCGGGGAATTCACCCCTCATCAGTTGAGCTTGAGTAGGCTGAGGAAGATTGTGCCTGAAAAGCACCACTTATATACTGCTCTCCAGGCCAAACCATCACCAGGGATACAAACTTACAGAGACGCTTTGAGGGGTGAATTCCCCGAAACACCGTGTATTGAGCAGGGAGTGGTGCTTTCTTGCAGGTTTGCCGAGTGGAAGGTGCGACGTGCTCCTCGTGTGCTCCGGATGGCAGTCGTGAGTCAGTCAAGTGTCAAGTTCGGCAAGAAGCGTGTGTTCCTAATTGGAACAATCAACTTCATGACTATTACCGCCGAAGTCGCAACTTCTAAGTTCGTATTGTTGTCCCTCACGCGGACGTGCGACTAGTTGTTGGAGGTGACAGCGTTGCGAATAGCTATACTGGCTCTCAACGTCTGTTTATCACAACTCCATGAGCGACTCTGACTCACGCTGCTACCTGGAGCTTCACGAGGTGTTTGTCGCGCTGGAAACAAAGCGTCTCTGTAAGTTTGTATCCCTGGTGATGGTTTGGCCTGGAGAGCAGTATATAAGTGGTGCTTTTCAGGCACAATCTTCCTCAGCCTACTCAAGCTCAACTGATGAGGGGTGAATTCCCCGAAACACCGTGTATTGAGCAGGGAGTGGTGCTTTCTTGCAGGTTTGCCGAGTGGAAGGTGCGACGTGCTCCTCGTGTGCTCCGGATGGCAGTCGTGAGTCAGTCAAGTGTCAAGTTCGGCAAGAAGCGTGTGTTCCTAGTTGGAACAATCAACTTCATAACAATAATCAGTTCGCATAATCACTCATTGCATGAGGTCAACGCATCTGTTGACAATTTCGAGCCAAGGAGCTCTATCAGAAGCAGATTGCACAGCATCCAGAAGCAAGAGATTAATGCATTGTAAGTCTTTCTTGACAACATCCATCCATCTCAGACGTGGTCGTCCGCGGGGTCGTCGTATGTCTATAGTGTTGATTGACATAAGGAGGGCTTGGAAAGAGGACGATTCTGCGCCTTAAAATGGAAATAATAAGATAAATTGTGCACTCATAACAACAGCAAAAAGTGAAGAAAGTTCAGTTCCATAACATTTTCTTGTGACTGTCATCAGTGGAACGCCGTCACATAAACATGTAATAACAAAACACACACTTATATACATGTAGCTAATATGGTTTCAGGTAGAAATACAGCAGCCAGCAAGTACAAAAAGCGAAGGTTGCACCTTTGCAATGTGTGAATATAGTGTATGTGAGAAAGGTAGTGGCAGATGAATGTGATACTGTGTGAATGAATGTAATGGTGCGTGTGTATTACTTGAAGAGTGTGAGTGATACAACGTTTTCTTTCTGTTTACATAGCACTGGGTCACGAGTACGAATATACACAGCTTCCAACACCTGCAATTGCTTGAGGAAACGTGCGCAACGAATAACACTAAACCAGGAATCGTCAAACACCTTACGACATTCTGGACTGGACACCAAATGCTTGTACACTGCAGACTTCCTCTTGTCAACATCAAACTCCTCCTCATCACTACTCATCTCATCACGAATCAAGGAGAGGGAAGCGGTGTCGCGAGGAGATGGAGACTGATGACGACGAATACGAGGACGATGGCATGGGATGGACGGCGGCATTGGAGTGGAGGTGGAGGATGAGAGTAGTGATGAGGAGGATGCCAGTGTACGTGCATGTAGGGCTTCCGGTATGGCCTACGACCATGTACACTGTGTGATGCGCATCCCCGGACGCTTTTCGCTTGCACGCCTTTGAATGCTGTCCATAGTTGTCTTCTTGGAAATAGCACTACAATGCCAAAAGTGCCCAGAATGCAGGATTTTGCACCCTAATTTCAAAAAAATTACGGCGGCAGATCCCCCCCGGACCCCCCTGGCCGGACCACCG